TCAGAGTTCTTTGGGTTTGCCACAGAATGGGGATCCGGGTGAGTTCGAGTTTGAGGAGCGAGGGTGCTGGAACAGGTGGTGGAACCGTTCTGTGCGGCACGGTTAGGGGTGGCCCAGGAGGTGGTGTGTCTGACAAGCCCCCAGGAGTGGACGGCATAGCTGTAGATCTGCGTGGATGACAGTGTGTCTGTCTCTGCTCATCCTCGGCTGTGAGCAGACCACAGGGAGCTCAGGAGCGGAAGGTGCGAGCCGCAGAAGGACCCCTGTGGGCTGGGCTGCTCCGTGGGAACTCTGTATGTGCTCCTGCAACCCGAGACTGCGCGCCCATGGGAACTGTGTAAAGCCAGGGGTCTTGACTTGCGTGTGGCCGGCCGGCCGTCTCACCCTGGTCCCCATGGAGTTGTGGTTCCTGGCATAGGGGTAGAAGGCCCCCAGCTGCATCCAGCGCACACACATCTCGTACTCCGCATCTCCAGAGAAGCCGCAGATGTCCGCCCCTGTCTGAGGAGGCACAGTGGGAGGCGTGAGGTAGGGCTTTGCAGGCTGCGGCCCCAGGGAGGGCTGTGTGATCGGAAGGGCCCGGAACCACTTACATAGGGGATCCCGAAGAGGCTGAATTCCATCATGCCTGCAATGAGAAGACACCACCGGGCTGGAGCGAGCAGGGCTTGGGGAGTCTGGGGGGAACAGGGTGCCACCCACCTCGCCACTTCTGGTGAACATATCCAGGTTGGGAGTGTGGCCTTCACCTTACCCTCCAGCTGCCACACCCTGACCCCAGGGATGGCCCCTCACCGACAATGGAGGTCTTCAGCTGGTCCCACGCAGCTGTGTTCTCTCCCAGCCCGTGTCCTCCCCAGTGGCCCGAGGAGGGGAAGGTGGAGCGGGTGAGAATGATGCCACGCTGGCCGGTCACCTCCTGCACAGCTCTGTGTGGAGGGACAAAGAAGTGAGGTGACATGGGTTTGGGTTGGTGACCTGGGCAGTAGCTACAGCCTGAGCAAAGGGGTACCAAGCTTTCTGCCCCGAGAGGGTCGGTCATTGGCTGAGTCCAGCAGCTTCCAGGAGGATGCAGCAGGGCTGCCTTCTAGGGAATGCATTGCATTAGCTGGTTGTCTACATGGAGGTGCCCGGAGCCCTGGTGGCACTGTGGGTCAGGTGTTGGGCTGTGAACCACAAGGTCGGCAGTTCAAACCGACTGGATGAGGTTGATGGCTCCCATAAAGCTTTACAGCCATGAGAACACTGTGTAGGGTCTCTGTGAATTAGCAATGACTGAGGGGCAGTGGACACTGGGGTAAGAGCTAAGGGCAGAGTTGCTAACCACAAGGTCAGTGGTTCAAACCCACCAGCTGCTCTGCATGAGAAAGACGAGGCTGCCTGATCCCATAAGGAGTTGCAGTCTCAGAAGCCCACAGGGGCAGGTAGACCCTGTCCTCCAGGGCCCCAGGGAGTTGGAATCAGCTTGATGGCTGTGGGTCTGGGGCCGGTTTGTGTGGAGGTCACAGGAAGGGTGGCGGTAGGACAGGGGCCTTTGCACTGCACCCCCGCCCCAGTCCCATCTAGGCCACTTCCACAGATGCTGCCTCACAGCCTGCCTGCCTTGAACTACGAGGCAACCGAGGCTCAGAAGGTGGAGAATGTAGCAAAGAGCGAGGGCTAGAGCCCGGATTTAGGGGCAGACAGTGTCTCTGCCCTGTAGAAGGCCACCTGTACCCTGAGTCTGTTTGCTGCCAATGACAAGGGTACCCTCAGTCCAGGTGGGCTCCTTGTGGGGAGCTGAGACTCACTCGTAGGTGGGCCTGGTCTGGGCCCAGCCGTACAGGCTGTGGACG